TTGCATTTCTCTAATCAATGATTTGGAGTATTTTTTCATGTGACTACATATAGCTTTGATTTCTTCATCCAAAAACTGCCTATTCATATCCTCTGACCATTTATCAATTGGAGACTGACTCATATTTTTATAAATTTGGCAGAGTTCTCTGTGTATTTGAGATATGAGACTGATGGGATTGGAATCTGAGCCCCAGAAAGGAAAAACTCTGGCCCTGATGGGATTGGAATCTGAGCCCCAGAAAGGAAAAATTCTGGCCCCAGACCATTTCCCACCCTTGGTAATTCTATTACCTCATGGACTCTGTACTTTCCCACATGGCCAAATCTCTGGTGTTCCCCTGAGGCTATGGTCCCATCAACTGATCTTTCATGGTGACCACACCCAATCTCCCCTCTATTGTCTTACCTCCCAAGGGCCTCAGGCCATTTCCCACCCTTGCTCCCACCTAGGCTCCATTTCCCACCCTTGGGAATTCTATTACCTCATGGACTACTTGGCCACTCTCCCACTGTCTTTCTGCATATAAGGTCTATCTTGTCTCCATTAAGATGCTCAGATTCTTAAAATCTAGCCACTGCTTAGATTCTTACAATCTAACCACTGCTTGCCCATGTTCAGACTCCTTAAGAGTCTGCCCAATATGATGGATGTTCTAATAAACCTTGTCTTTGGGTGAAAGAAAGCTTGAATTCTTTCAGGCAGACCTGTGTATTGTGATTTTGGGGTCCCAGCACCCCTGAATCCCTAAACCGCATCAAGACCTTTATCTGAGAAACTGTCTATAATTTTTTCCCAATTTTCTGATTTCCACATGTAATGTTTTTTATTGAGAGATCCAATTAAGATAGGATGCTGATAAAGTTTTTTGCATTAACCACTGTGAATCATTTGAACCAATAATTATGAAACTTACCTATTTCTGCTGCTTTCAGTTTTGTAATCAGTTGAAGAATGGCTCATTCTAATATATTTGATTTGTCCTTTGACTCATCAATTCTAAAAGTCTCCAATTAAATTTTTTTTCAGCAGTCCTTTATTATTTATGTTGCATTTTAGTCATTAAAGGATATTTTAAAATATTTTTTCTTCTCTGAATTTATTAGGTTTAAATGCACCTAGCTAAAATTTAATGTATTTTGCCTTATTTCAAATTATTCTCCTCCACACACTATGTGCTGCAGTCAAACTGTACTACTTGCATTGGGCGAAAACTAGTGTACATGATTTCCCACAAGAAAATTTGACATTGTGCTCCAACATTTAACATTTTCCTATTTTGTCTTCTTTCCCCGTCTGATAGATGTGAGCCAGAACCTTACAATTACTTTAATTTGTATTTCTCTAATTATTAGTGATTTATAGAATTTTTTCATATGATAGCTTAGATTTCTTCCTTTCAAAATTACCTATTCATATTTTGACCATTATTATGGAATGGTTCTCAACTCTTATAAATTTGGATCAGTTCCTTCTATTACCTATATCAGAGAAACTTGTTGCAAAGATTTGGTGAATAGACATGTGGGCAAGGGAGATATGGTATTGTTTCAAGAAGTCCTGAAAATACTCCTTATGGGTAGAACTGATCATGTCACTCCTTTATTCAATAAATTCCAGTGGTTTCCTAATGCTTCTGGGATCAAATATAAACTTTGTTTGGCTTTTGAAGTCCTTCATAACTTGCAACTTATCTTCCCAGTATCTTTATATATTACTCTTTTCCTCAACTCATTCTACATTATACAGCCAAGCCCATTTTCTCTCTGCTGCTCACAACACCACACTCCATCTTCCCTCTCAATGTCTTTGGACAACCTGTCAAACCTGGAAATGCATTCCCTCCTAATCTCCATATCAAAGAATCCTTGCAGACTCCATTAAAACACAAAGACTTTGAAGATCACACTTCAGTGCCTGACCTCTCTTAACTTGAATGTTGACTATTTTGTATTTTATGTGTATAGATATATGTAGATAGATAGATAGATAGATACAGATATATGAATATATATTGTGATGAATGACAAACCTAGAAGGCAGTTTCTGAGTAATTAATAATCAATTTATTAATTAGACTAGCTAATAATAGATAAATTGATGATTAGTGGTTTCTCTTGGTAACCAAAGACAAAGACATGAAGAAATTGGAAGCCTTCATATCCTTTTAGAAAAAGGGGTGCCCCTGACAGGTGAAAATCAACCCTGATTGTTGAACAATTAATGAGGTGAGCTAAAAGTCTTCATTCAGGTCCTCCTGCTGAGAATGAGGCTTGATCATGAGACTCAGTAGCCTCCAGTAATCTGGACAAAGGAATCCATCTCTACTAGACCACTCTGGTTGGTTTTCTCCTTTATGAGCTGGGTTACCAACTCCAAAGGAAGGGTACAAAGACACTAGTTTATTGCTTTGGGGCAGGAATTTACCTAGATTAGATTCTGTTTATACTTCAAACAGAAGTAAGGTCTACTACTTGGTAGTCCTGCACAAGATTGAGGAACATACTCCAAGGTTTAGGACAATCTCCTCAATCAACCAAGGCCTGGGTGGCAGAGACAGGCTGACTGACCTACTGACCTGAATGAGGAAATAAATGGCCTGGATCCCAATTAATAATGGGTTATTAATATAATAGAAAATAATTTCAGTATAAAGTATATGTTTACATGTTGTATACCTTTCATAGAATGTTGCATATCTTTCATAGAGAGAAGTAGCTGTTACATTTTTTTTTCCTTTTTTATTTCCCAGTGACTGACACATAGTAAGTGTTTAATGCTTGACGGATAGTTCCTTCCTATTTCAAATGATGATTGTGAGAAAAGCACATTCTAAACCTTAAAGGTTTATATAATTGACAGTTGGAGTTTAGAGGAAGGAAGAGTACATTTTAGGCTTGAGAAATAGTGTGGACACTCAAGAGACACCTGGAAGAAAAAGAACAGGTGTCATATTGCTCTATTGCTCTTAAATAGATTGTGCCAAAAACTCTTATCTTCTTTCATAAACCCCATAGCACCCAATATTGCACTACTCAAAACAGTAAATTTTTTTTGAATGAAGTCTGTCACCTGTGTCTGAGTGTATTATATCCCAATTTAATCTATTAATTTCTGCCAGGTTAAAACAGGATGATACCATTCCTACCTTGGTGCAGGCCCTTATTACCTCATGCTAGGAGTATTGAAATGGCCTGCTGGTAGTTCTGCTGGCCTCCAGTCTCTCCTCACTCAGATCCATCCTCCAATCAGCCACCAAAGCGATTTTCCTAAAACACAGGTTCTACCATGTCACTCCCCCCCTCCCCTCAATAAACTCCAGTAGCTCCCTATTGTCTCCAGGATCAAATACAAAATCCACTGTTTAGCATTCAAAACTCTTCATAGTCTAGCCCCCTCCTACCCTTTCCAGGCTTCTTAAACACATACTCTCCAATCCAGTATGATTGGCCTCCTTGCTTTTCTAAGAACAAGACACCTCATCTATTTCTTCTGGCATTTGCACTGGCTGTCCCCTATACCTAGAACATTTTCCTTCCTCATCTCCACCTACTGGATTCCCTGGTATCCTTTAGGTCCCCAATAAAATCTCATGTTCTATAATCTTTAGGAAGCATTTCCCAACTCCTCTTAATTCTAATTGTTCAGTTGTGTCTGTCTCTTCATGAACCCGTTTGGCAAAGATACAGGAGTAGTTTCCATTTCCTTCTCATTTTACAGGAGGAACTGAAGCAAAAAGGGTTCAATGACTTGCCCAGGGTCAGAGTCTGAGGCTGAATTTGAACTCAGAAAAAGGAGTCTTCCTGATTCCAAGCCCAGTTCTCCATCCACTTAGACACCTAGCTGCTCTTAATCCTAGCCCCTTCTCTCTTTTATTTCCTATTTATCTTGCATATAGCTTGTTTGTACATGTTTGCTTTTTGTCTTCCCTGTTAAGCTGTGAGCTCCTTGAGGGCATGGATTGTCTTTTGCCTCTTTTTGTATACCCAGTGTTCATCAGAGTGCTTGGCACAAAGTTGCTTTTATAAATGTTTATTGACTGACTAGTTGCTTACCATTTTAAATTAAGACCAGTAACGGTAGATAGGTAAGAACCAAGGAGGACTCGATGTTCTATTATGAAAACACTCAGAATCTTGAGCAGGGGGTGCCACGAGAAGAGAGTCAAGAACAGATGGAAAGCAAGCTCAGGTTCAGAAAGTACGACTTTGCGCCAGTAATCCTGGGACGTAATGAAAACAGGTAACCTTAGTATTTGTATAATGGCCTACGTTTAGGTTTAATTAGTCTGGATTAAGTAGTGCTCTATTTCTAGTGCAAGGTGTAAATACGCCCCTAAATTGCCCTTACTTGCTCCATGGTGGCACCCAGTTTCAGAGTCCCTGGGGAAAGTTTGATTTTTTCCCCTAACTTGAATTGGCCCCACGTCTTTGCCTTCCTCCGGCTGATCTCGCCTTCGCAGAAGGATGGGGAGCAGCAGCATGGCGGTATTTTGGAGATCGAAGACGACCAAAACAAATCACCTCAAAACCCAACCTGTTATTTGGGGCACAACTGGAGGAAACCCCCTCCCCCCGCTGCTGTTAAGGCCAAACCTCAGCGACTACGGAGGCACCCCAGGAGATGACGGGAAAGAAGGGCCCCCAAGTCCCCAGCAGCGTGGGGGGGGCGCCCTCCCGGTGTGGCCCTGCCCGACACCACCAGTGTCGCATACGCACTCCGGCCCGAGGTAGCCTTCGAAGACAAAGGCCGAGGCACCACTTGGGCCGTTTTTCCCGTTCCCTAGAGATTCCTCCCTTCGGGGGTACACTGCTTAAACCCATTTCCTCCCTCCCACCTCCGCCACACTTCCTTCTTTTAAACCACCACATTTACAAGCCCTCTGGACTCTAGACTCCATTTCGGATACACCCACGCTATACCTACGTCACCCCAGCAACCGACGCCGCAACGGATAGCGGAAGGAGCTGGGTCAATGTTCCGGGATTTCCTCTTCCGGGAGCACCGAGTGACTTCCGGTTGTCAGAATCTCTGGACGCAGAGGAGAAAGCGGCGGTGGTCGTAGCGGGAGGGCCTCCTCTCATGGTGGACGTGCCCTCTGGCACTTAGTGGCTCAGACTTTCCTCGTCGAAATCGATGCATCCGCGGCGTCCGGACGGCTTCGATGGCTTGGGCTACAGGGGTGGGGGCGGCATCCGGGAAGATCCTGGGGGCAACAGTTTCCCTGCAAGGTCCTTCAGCTCCACCTCCGACCTGAGCCACTGGGTGACCACGCCGCCCGACATCCCTGGCAGCCGCAACCTGCACTGGGGGGAGAAGACCCCCCATTACGGCCCGGGAGCAGCCCCCACCCCGCTCGGGGGGGCCGGCGAGGAGCCCTACCCCGGCAGCTGCAGCAGCGGGCCCGGGGCTAGCAGCGGTGAGGGCAGGGCGGTGACAGGCTCTCAAAGTGGCGCTGGGCGGGGTGTGCGGAGGGAGGAGGAACCGGGACCTTCGGTTTTTCTGCTGCTTTAAAAAAAAAAAAAAAAACACAGGTGGCTGTTAGCCCTTCCCCTGGGTTTGCCTTTCTTGATGGTTTGTTTTTTTTCCCCAGGCCTTTCAAACCCCATCCCAGGTCCTTCATACTCTCATCGTTTTCTTCTTTCCCCATCGAAGCCTCCAAGATGAGAAGCCCCATCTGAAATTTGGGGTATATTAAAGTCCTAGGAAATCAATTTGGTGATACTTAAAATGAAAATTGTTTTAAGTAGGGTGTCAAAAGACTAACATGTTCTTTTAAACACGCCCCACCACGTGATCTTGGGAATTCTCCAAAACTCTTAATTTTTAAAATGTCAATAATATCTGCTCTTTCCCAGCTTTGTGTATTATGGACTCAATTATTTTCACTTTAAGTTTCAATAGTAATAACATGGGCATCAGATATCTCTGTGATTCTTCATTTTTTATTTAACAATTTTATTCAACAATTTGTATTAATTGTGGGGAAGGTTGGTCTTAAAGTGTTTATTTTGGAGCCACTATTAGTTTCAAATTCAAAGACATTTTTAAGTGCTCTCCTTTGCTTCTTCAGAGTAGGTTTTTTTTTTTTTAATGTTCATCTTCATCTTGAGCTCTCAGCTTTTATAGAATTTCCATCCCTGTTAGAAGTAGAAACATCTTCAGGTGAACATGAAACTGATATTTGGACTTGCTGCTCAGTAAACAAAATCTTTAAAGCTCATTATGGTGCTTTTTTAAATATATTTTTATAATTTCAGCTTAAATTGAAAAACTCATTTGCCTTTATGATAATGGTAAAAAGCTATACAACTAAATGCCAGAATGTATCTATTTGAGGTTATAAATAACATCCCCACACCAGAGCTGATTCCAAATTTGGAGTTGTGTGGCTCCAAAGTTTTGTAATGTGAAAATATTTTATTGTTGTTTGAAAGGTTTGCTTTAGCTATAGTTACAGTAATAACTATAAGTGAGAAAAATTAAGGAGTTTTAGTGGGCTAAAAATATGTCAGTTAATATAAATGGCAGCCAAAAAATTAATTTGATATTAAGCTGCATTGAAAGGCATAGTGTCCTGAACATGGTAGACCCTAGTTAGGCCACATCTACAGAACTGTGTTCAATTCTGGATATTACATTTTAGAAACTACATAGACAAAGTAGAATATGTGTAGAAGAAGGCAACCTGGATGGTGAGAGAACTGGCTAGCAATGCCATGTTTGGATCTCTGGGAGGAACTGGGAATATTGCTTAATGGCTGCCTTCAATTATTGGGAAGATTATTGAGTGAAAGGGATTTGATTGGTCCCAGAGGTCAAAGATAAGAGCAGCTGGTGGCAACTGAGACAATCAAGTTTTGGCTCACTGTAAAGGAAAACTTAACAATGTAAGGTATCCAAAAGTAGAATGAGTTGCCTTGAGAGGTAGTGGATTTCTCTTCAGGGAAGTCATATGTTTGTCTATTATGTTACAGAGGGAATTCCTATTCAAGTAAAGGTAAAGGACTTCCTTTTGTGGTCTTTCGAAGTTTTATAGTGCTACTGTCTCATAGATAACAGTTTTCCCCCATGTATACACACACAAACACACAAGCATTTATTAAGGCCTACGATGTGCCTGATACTAAGATACTGTGCTAAATACATATATAAATATATAATGATTACAAGATACTGAAATTTATAAGCCAGAGATGAAAATTTGTTTCAACACATTATTGTCATTTCTATGTGTTTAAAGTACTTATTTGCTGTACTAGAAAACATTTGTGGTGCAGTTTAAAGAGCCCTGGATTTGAAATTAAGGGGGCCTGGTTTCCAGTCTCAGTTGTGCCATTTACATATGTGAATTTGGGCAAGTCACTTAATTTTTCTGGATCTCAGATTCCTCATGTATAAAATGAAGTTGCTTAACTAGATGAACTGAAATCCCTTTCATATTTAAAATGATAATCCCAGCCTGGTCAGTCACTAAGAATTAACCATTTATATAGTTATTGTTAGATCTCTTTAACTGTTCTTATTTTGAAGATACATATACTTTTTTAAAAAATTCGAAATAATTAGTATTGTTAGAATGAGGGTAGAAGCTTATCTTAACTAAGTCAATTTCTTACACTGAAAATAGTGTATGAAGCTATTGTGGCAATGACAGGGGCTAGTAGGTAATGGTATAGTGTATACAACAAGCAATTCAATTCAATTTAGTTAATATTTTATTCAGTACCTACCCTATATGCATTAAGCATTGTTGGGTCTACAAAGTTGAATAAGATAACTGCTACTGCTCTCAATTTGCGATCTAGTTTGACCTCAGAGAATCTCTTTGGATATGAAATTTCTTGCAAAAGAGAGAATAAAGTAGTAGTTTTTGTTTTTTTGTTTCTTAAGCTTTATTGAATATTCCCCCACCCCCTTTTTTTGCACTGCAGTCTTTCCTGGATACTAATTTTTCTGGCCAGAGTAGAGAAGATATTTCACACAAAATGAGGGAGAGGGTGAGGAGAACTATAAGAGAATGAAAGAAACTTTGCATCTAGTCTTATACTTTTTGAGGCTGGTGTGAATGCATGCATGAATGAAGCAATTATTAAACATTCTGCTAACCAAATAGTTTCTTCTCCGCTCCCCTGGACACATACTAATACACTTTAGATTCTTTTAAAGGTGAAAAGAGCAAGATCATTGCTTACTTAGAAGCAAGGAGATAGAGTAAAAGCATGGTCAAAGACAGATCTCCCTTTTTGTCTCTTATTAAAATGTCACCTGAAGTGTAAACTTTTCGGTTCATGATACCTGACCATAACATTGTTTTCTGCTGGCTGTAGATACAGAGAAAGGTTCCTTCCATTTTTGTCATCTATGCATGACTACTTCTAACTGGACACTTTTCTATTGAGTTTATTATTCAAAAGGCACTAATGACACTTAAGCCTAGGCCAGTGAGTGAATTAAGCACTCAAAACAAATGGATTTGGGGGGGGGGGGGTGGAGGAGGAAGGACAGAGAAGAAAAGTAAGAAATTTCCCCCCTTACATGGTTACTAGAAAAAGTCTTGTAGGGACTTATATGTGATTCCTCCCTCACTCCCCAGGATTAATTGCTTAACATTTTAATGGTACCATTAAATTGTAATTGTGTATCCATCTTTATCCTGTGCAGGAGAAAATGTATTCATGAGTAACCAGGAGTCATGGAATACTTCAGGGTTTCCAGTACAAATTCATCATTAATATGAACGTTCTAAAAATAGAAATTAGTCTTAAGTTGCTGCAGTTTACCCAACTATAAATGATATATAATCTTATTTCTTCTCTTTCAGAACAGTTGAATAGATTTGCTGGATTTGGTATTGGACTTGCAAGGTACTAGTTTTATGTGATATATGCTTTAACTTAATTAGAAAATGAGTAGTGCGGGGCAGCTAGGTGGTGCAATGGAAAGAGCTCCAGCCTTGGAGTCCGGAGGACCTGAGTTCAAATCCAGGCCTCAGACACTTGACACTTACTAGCTGTGTGACCCTGGGCAAGTCACTTAACCCTGATTGCCTCACCCCCCCCCCAAAAAAAAAGAAAAGAAAATGAGTAGTGTCTAAGATGAAGAAATTGATTGAATAGGTGATAATTGTCTTGGTCAGTAAGAATCAGGATTCTGAGTTTGTGATCAGAGGAAGACAGGTTAGATCAATGGATCTCAACTTTTTGGGTCAGGGACCCCATTAGCAGTTTGATGAAAACTATGGACCCCTTCTCAAAATATTGTTTTTAAATGCATAAATTAAAATATGTGGGATTACAAAGGAAACAAGATCTATTGAAATAAAGATATAATTTTTTTTTCTTTTCAAATTTCATTAACATCTTGAGATTTATCCTATGCTGAGAACCCCTGGGCTGATTTACTTCTAAAATTAAAAAAGTAATTTTGTGGTTTTGCCCCTGATATTAGAAAGAAAGATTAAGCACTAGAAAGTCTGGGTTTTATTTAGAATTAACCTGAGATTTATAAACATTATAATCTACAGTGAGTAGAATATATTTGTAGAGTACATTTAATAGAGTGTATGATTTTATTGTTTTGAAGATTTTAACTATGACATCGTCTTGTATTTGCTAGTAGTTTTTAATTGGGCATCAGCTTAGCTGTGGACATTTCTTCACATTTCCATCAAATTCAGTAAAGAGCAAAATACCAAATTTATTTTTGCTTATCTTTGTTATCATTTTGTAATGCTTACTTCAATACTTCAGGAGCCTGTATGGGATTTTTTTGATGTGGGAATTCCTTTCTCTGTTGTGATAACCTTCTGCAATTTAAGAGTTTCTTTGGCCTCAAAACGTATCACCTATGGCCATCATTTATATGCACCTCCCCATACTTAACTATGTTATTTCTTGAATCCAGTTTCACCTTCATAACATGATGAGGAATCAGAGGAGAACTTTTGGGGTACATATTCTGACTCTACAGTATATACTAATAAAGATTTAGAGAAATGAAAGTGGATGTTTAAGAGAAAGGATTTACATTGCTTAGCCCACGTTCACCATTAGGGATTTGTTCTTCATAAATGAGTAGTATGTATTGTTTCAGTTACATAGCTCCAGCTCAGTTATGTGATTTTTGTTAGTAATAGTACATTGCTTTTGAAGTATATTTTTATGTGTAGTCGAGATCTTTTTTATAGTAAATATATATCAACAATTTTAGAATTGTATGTTGTAAACCTATGATTCTTTAGAAAGATAGATTTTGGAGTATTTACACAAATGAAAATTATTTTTGTAGTTTGTTTACAGAAAATGTTTTGGCCCATCCTTGCATTGTTCTCCGTCGCCAATGTCAGGTAATTGCATAATTTCAGTTACCTTTTGAAAATTTTAATTAAATGCTTACTTGGTACAGGTAATGATGAAGGTGAGGCTTCCAAGATTTGTGATGACCTTTGATAAAGCAGGCAATAAATCTTTCCTCTCTTATTTCAAGTGATTTTTTTCTAAAATCTGTGCTAATATTTAGGATCTCAGAATTTGAGAGCTGCAAGGAACTTTAACATTCTAGTCCAATCTCTTCATTTTGAAGAATAGGAAACAAAGGACAGAGTTTAAATAACGTTCCTTAAGTCACATGGTTGATAAATGGCAGAGTCAGGATCAGAACTCATTTTCTTTGACTCACTCTACTGTCTTTTTTTCTGTGTGTTGTTTATCAATGAAGTCACTGCAAGTCATTGTTTTAGTATACCTTTAAAGACTATTATTATTTTGTGATAAGTCACATGATAGGACCAAAACTCTAAAGTCATCATTGTCTTCTGTAATATTTTTTCACTAGCTTTTTCATCTTAGAATCATAAATGCATATAATTTTGGAACTATAGGAACCTTAGAGATAGAGCGAATTGTCCAAATGGATTAGAAATGGGCTCCTCATACTTCACAACAGAAATCAAGACTTACTTTTGCTTTTGAATTTGCTTAAAACAAATGTTTTAAAATAAAGAGTGCTTTTCAAAATGTAGTTCTTAATGTATTTCAAGTTTTGTGGATTTACCTACATTTATTTAAAGGAAAATGCATTTTTAAAAATATTCTGACTATAAATATGGTCTCATCTTCAATAATGTTTTGGTGCAGTCACAGCATGCATCCCTGTTACCTAGTTAGCCCTTTTTTACTTTCTTCCTCTCATCTTCTAATTCCTGGAAGCAGTGATGATGATTAGCAAAGTTCCTTGCTTCTGTAATGTCCTCTGTACTAGAGACAGATCCCTGGAGAGGAACCATAGAAGTGGTTGCCTTTTTGCAACTATCTGATAGATAGCTCATGGACTATTTTGACTGTCTGTAATGTCTTCAATTTATGTGGCTGCCCCACTGAGGAGTTTGAGGAGAATCATCTCTGAAACCTTATATGAAAAAAGGATTAAGATAGAAAGGATCTTTTTAAGACTAGGGTAAAATAAATGCAAAGGTTGTGATCTTGGTAGAAAAGGAAGACTTGGCATTTTAGGGCTTAATCTGTTTTCAATAGTGAATTTTTAAGTTCTTTTAGGGGAACTCATGCACATTAATGACTCTTTCCTCATATAAGGTACCCATGTATAGATTCTCTGAGAATGAATTGAACTTAGAATATCAATATTTTAGGAACTTAGGTTGACTAGGAGTCTTTTCATATAACTATGTAACAAACATATTTTACTATTGTAAAAATAAAGTTTAAATGAATTTTAATTACTTCCTGATTTTTTAAAAATAAAATTATTGCTTTCCAAATATATTTATATATTCCCTAAGATAGAAATGTGTTGATACATTTAAGATTCCATTGGTTTATTTACATGTATTTAAGGGAAAATGAAATTTGTAATACACTTATAACAATGACTTAAAAATCTTCCTAACAGGTTAATTATCATGCTCGACATTATCACCTCACTCCATTTACAGTCATCAATATCATGTACAGTTTCAACAAAACCCAGGTGAGAATGTCAGTCTACAGGTTTGATACATTTTTAAAAGTTGAAGTTGTATTATGTATACTAATTTACCTTAATTTTAAAAAGAACCGTTCTTGTCTATTTAGATGGACAATAAAGAAAAGAGTTTTTTTAAAATGAGAAAGTTTGAAATATATGTATTCTTGTTTAATTGGCATGTTCTTCATGACCCTAATTCAAACTACTTATCTGTAAGAATGTAACATAGGCTCCTTGAGGGCTGTTTTGATTATGTTTTTGTATTCTCAATTCCTAGCAGAGTTCCAGGCACATAGTAGATGCTTAATTAATTCTTACTGAATTTAATACCTAAGAGTATGAAAAGAAATTAAGTCAAGACCCTCTATTAAGATTTTCTCTGGGAAAGCATCAATAACTATTACAATATAATTAAGAATTTGTCCATATTATGTAGACTTTAATGGGTATACCTTTTTTTTTTTTTCATTTTAGGGTCCAAGAGCCCTTTGGAAAGGAATGGGAAGCACATTTATTGTTCAGGGCATCACACTTGGAGCTGAAGGAATTATCAGTGAATTCACACCTTTGCCAAGGTATCCTTTTAAAATCTATAGTGAAATGTAAGGGAAAAAAAAATTTTAAGTGTCTGTCTTGAATCTGATATCTAGTAAGAAATCGCTAAAAAGAAATTTGTCTGTAATAGTATAGTCCAATGAATGATAGAATTAATTGAATTGTTTTGAACTGGGGAAGTAGCTATGGTATAGTGGATAGAGAGCCAGTCTCAAAGCCAGGAAGACCTAGTTCAAGTCCTTTGTCTGATATATACTGGCTTTGTGACCTTGGGCAAGTTACAACCTCTTAGTGCTCTAGGCAATTCTTTTTTTTTTTTTTTTTTTTTTTGGAGTTAAGTGACTTGGCCAGGGTCACACAGCTAGTAAGTGTCAAGTGTTTGGTCTGAGGCCGGATTTGAACTCAGGTCCTCCTGACTTGAGGGCCAGTGCTCTATACACTGCACCACCTAGCTACCCCCAGGCAGTTCTTTTTTTTTTTTTTTAATTAAATTAAATTTTTTTATTTTTAGTTTTCAACATTTACTTCCACAAGATTTTGAATTCCAAATTTTCACCCCATCTCGCCCCTCCCCCCCACCCCAAGATGGCATGCATTCTGAATACCCCTTTCCCTAGTCTGCTTTCCCTGCTATCTTTCCCCCCCCTTCCCTTTCTATTTTCCTGTAGGGCAGGATAGATTTCTGTACCCCATTTCCTGTATTTCTTATTTCCCAGTTGCATGTGAAAACATTTTTTTTTAAAACATGTGTTTTTTAAATTTTGGGTTCCAAATTTTCTCCCTTCCTCCCTCCCCACCCACCCTCATTGAAAAGGCAAGCAACTCAATATTGGCTATACATGTGCAGTTATGCAAAACACTTCCATAGTAGACATGCTGTGAAAAACTAACTCTATTTCCCTTAATCCTATCCCACCCCCCCATTTATTCTCTTCTTTCTTTTGACCCTGTCCCTCCTCAGAAGCATTTGCTTCTTATTACCCCGTTTCCCAATCTGCCCTCCTCTCTATCATCCCCCTACTCTCTTGTCCCCTTCCCCTCCTATTTTCCTGTAAGGTAAGACAGATTTCCATACCCAATTGAGTGTGTATGTTATACCCTCCTTAAGTCAAATCCTATGAGAATAAGATTCACTCATTTCCTCTTACCTTCCCCCAGTTCCCCTCCACTGTAAGAGCCTTTTCTTTTCGATTTTTTTTTGTGAGATAATTTACCCCGTTCTACCTTTCCCTTTTTCCTTCTTCTAATATAATCTTCTCTCACCCCTTAATTTTATTCTCCAGATATGACCCCTTCATCTTCAACTCACCCTGTGCCTTCCATCTATCCATCCATCCATCCATCCATCTGTCTGTCTATGTATCTATCTATGTATCTATCTATCTATCTATATGTATGTACATACATATAATTTTTTCCCTCCAACTACCCTAATACTGACAAAGGTCTCATGAGTTACAAATATCATCTTTCCTTGCAGGAATGTAAACAGTTCAACCTTAATAAGTCTCTTAGGATTTCTCTTTTCTGTTTATCTCTTCATGTTCCACTTGAGTCTTGTATTGGAAAGTCAAATTTTCTATTCAGCTCTGGCCTTTTCATCAAGAATGCTTGAAAGTCCTCTATTTCACTGAATGGCCATTTTTTCCCCTGAAGAATTATACTCAGTTTTACTGGGTTGGTGATTCTTGGTTGTAATCCTATTTCCTTTGCCCTCCAGAATATTATATTCCATGCCCTGTGGTCCCTTAATGTAGAAGCAGCTGAATCTTGTGTTATCCTGATTGTGTTTCCACAATACTTGAATTGTTTCTTTCTAGCTGCTTGTAATATTTTCTCCTTGACCTGGGAACTCTGGAATTTGGCTGCAGTATTCCTAGGAGTTTTCCTTTGGGATCTCTTTCAGGAGGAGATTGGTGGATTCTTTCAATTTCTGTTTTGCTCTCTGGTTCTAAAATATCAGGGCAGTTTTCCTTGATAATTTCTTCGAAGATGATGTCTAGGCTCTTTTTTTTGATCATGGCTTTCAGATAGTCCAATAATTTTTAAATTATCTCTCTTGGATCTATTTTCCAGGTCAGTTGTTTTTCTAATGAGATATTTCACATTGTTTTCTAATTTTTCATTCTTTTGGATTTGTTTTACAGTGTCTTGATTTCTCATAAAGTCACTAGCTTCCAATTGCTCTAGTCTAATTTTTAAGGAAGTATTTTCTTCAGTAATCTTTTGGACTTCCTTTTCCATTTGTCTGATTTTGCTCTTTAGGGCATTCTTCTCTTCATTGGCTTTTTGGACCTCTTTTGCCATTTGGGTTAGGCTATTTTTTAAGGTGTTATTTTCTTCAGTATTTTTTGGGGTCTCCTTTAGCAAGCTGTTAACTTGCTTTTCATGATTTTCTTGCATCACTCTCATTTCTCTTCCCAGTTTTTCCTCTACTTCTCTTACTTGCTTCTCAGAATCCTTTTTGAGCTCTTCCAAGGCCTGGGACTAATTCATATTTTTCTTGGAAGTTTTGAATGTAGGAGCTTTGACTTTGTTTTCTTCTTCTGGTTGTATGTTTTGATCTTCTTTGTCACCAAAGTAAGATTCTATAGTCTGAGTTTTTTAACTCTGTTTGCTCATGATCCCAACCAATTACTTAAGTTTTAAACTCTTTGTTCAGGTAAGAGTCTGTTTCCAATGTGGAGAATGTACTGTCCCAAGCTTTGGGGGTTTGTACAGCTGTTTTCAGAGATACTTCTAGGGACCTGAAAAGTGTCAGTTCTTCCAAGGTGCTATGATAAGGGGCGAGGTATTTCCTCTCCATAGCCACAACAAGCTCTACCACACCAGCGCTCCTAGTCACCCAAGGACCGCCCCTCAGAACTGTGACCCAGATCCAAGCAGGGCAAAGCAAGAGATTCCTGCCTCAGCCCTGGCAAAGAGATCCTTGCAATCCCCCTCTGATCAGCCACTCGATTCCCCCTCAGTCTGTGGGCCAGAAGCTCAGAAGCCACCCGCTGCCCTTGGGGCGGCTGAGATCTAGATTCTTCTCTCACTGTAGTAACAGACTTTTCCCACTGACCTTTTAAGTTGTCTTTGGCATTCAGGAGTTGAGAAGTCTGGAAACCGTCATAGCTGCCCGTGATTCAGTCCTCTGAGGCCTGTTCTAGGTTTGCTGCGGTCTGCGCGCCCACGCCAAACTGCTCCTCTCCCAGCCCGGCTCGACATACCTTTCGATCAGCCATCCAGGGTTGTCTTGGGCTGGAAATTTGTTTTACTCTTTTTTTGTGGGTTCTGCTGCTTTAGAATTTGTTTAGAGCCATTTTTGTAGGTATTTGGAGGGGTTTGGGGGAGAGCTCTAGCAAGTCACTGCTTTCCCTCTGCCATCGTGGCTCCGCCCTCCCAGGCAGTTCTTTAAGACTGTAAGTTTCAGGGAGGGTATGAATTTGGGATTAGTAAAAAGAATTTCCTTATCAAGGAGCTCCCTATGTTAATGAAATAACAGATCTAGTTCTTATCCCTATCCCTTATAAATGGAAAGGAACTTAAAAAGATTATTAAATCATAGCTTCAAATTCTGCCTCTGAAAAATACCGTTTTTTAAAGTTTCACATGCTTTCTAAAGCAAACCAAAATGGTAGAGGGAGTTTTCTCTCCCAAGATTTCTGCGTACCATTGAAATCACAGTTTCAGGTCCTGTCCCAGTCTCCTCAGCTTATGATCCTAAAATTCTCTTAAATATAGTCATATAAAAAAAGATTTAAAGTTTATGCACTTAAATTTTAACTTGTAAATTTTGGGCTAGCAAATATTTTTATTAGAATATGCATACTTAAAAATGAAAATGTATTCTTGACTCATTCACACTTACCCTTCTTTTTTGAATATTATTACATTGAAAGAAAATAAATTAATACTTATAGCTAAATACTCTCAGAAGTTTAGTCAGAAGGATAGAAACTTTGAAAACATAATATAATTTGGAAAATAATAAATATTTATGACTGTCTATAAAGGGCTTAGCATATGTGCTGTGGGAAATATCCTCCAAATATAAAACATTTCCTTTGCCCTCAAGGTGCAGCCACAAAGGAGAAATAGATTAATAAATATACGTTTCAGAGTAGTAGTATTGAATTTAAAAGGACAGAATACAAGAAAAGACTTGGGTGCAGCTAGGTGGTACAGTGGGTAGAGCACCAACCCTTGAGTCAGAAGGACCTGAGTTCAAATCCAGCCTCAGACACTTGACACTAGCTGTGTGACTCTGGGCAAGTCACTTAACCCCAATTGCCTCACACACACAAAAAAAAGAATTGGTAAGCTGATTGAATAGAGAAGATACATTTTTTAATAAAGTTCTTATTAACCTTCCAATCTGAGTTTTTAGTCTCCAGGCTCAGTAGATTAGTTTTCATCCATGTATAGGCTATGATCTTATTTAAGTAACGGATGAAGGAGGCAGAGATTATTTTTCTCCTGAATTTTCCTAATACTTTGTTGTTCTCTTATGTACTTTCACAGTATGAGAGTTAATTGCCTGAATCTCTTTCTTCTTATAGATAGGAAGCTCTTTGACAGATCAGACTATGTTTTATTCTTCCTTATATTCCCTTCCTACTTAGCAAAGTGCTTTGTACATATTAGTAATGGTTAAATATTTTGTATGTCTATACACACAGATGGGCAGCCGGTTGGCAGAGTGGATAGAGTTTTGGCCCTGGAGTCAGGAAGACCTGAGTTCAAATTCATTCTCAGATACTTACTAGCTGTATGACATTGGGCAGGTCACTTAGCCCTGTTTGCTTCAGTTTCCTCATCTGTAAAATGAGCTGGAGAAGGAAATGGCAATCCACTCCAGTATCTTTGCCAAGAAGACCCCCAAATGGGGTCATGAAGAGTCATATTGGACTGAAACAGCTGAACACAACCACACAGCTATGGTTTTTATAATTCATTTTGTATCTTGGCCAAGAAAATGGATACTTAAGTCTTCTGTTTGGATAAATGTAGTAGTTAATTCCATTGAAGAAAAATA